CAACATTTGTCTTATATTAATTAGAGATTTATATATCAAAACTACTAACTGTTCCCGCGACTTCGTCCGCGTAGAATTTAACTTTATTTTTCTAAAATAAAAGTAGCTTCAGTTACTCTTTATTACATCAGCTACCTGCCAAAAAAAGTCCTGTCAAAATCGGTTCAGCCATCTCAGAGATTAGCCGGAATAATCAGACAGACAGAGAGACAAACGTTGTAAAAAAAATATTTTGGTGTATATACCGTATTTATATTCACATCCATGTAGTAAAAAACGGTTATTTCAATATTAAAAACAGACACTCCAATTTTATTTATACGTAGATTGTACACATTACAACCGAGATATTTATTGTTATAATATTATTAAAGAGCTCCTGATGTTTCGACGCTTTGTCAGTCGTCTGATGACCAGAACGTATATATTATTGTATATACATATACAAACATTCTGGTCATCGCTCCAATTGTAAACATTTGTGAAAAAAAGAAGGTTACCGACGTACCTACACGATTTGAAAACTACTCCATGCACTGATTTGAAAACTAAAATCGTTAAGGTTTTTTATTTCATAAAGATGTTGTTTTTTATATTTTTTTTTTATTTACACACAAATAATAAAATAGTAGAATCGTGACGAGGCGAAAATTTGCCTAAAATTTAATTACTGTTTGTATGTTAACCTTTCACATATGTAAAATTGTCTGGAGTAATTACGATGTAATTCACAGAGTTTGTTGTTATATATAGGTACATATAGGCTAAAAAGATGGGAAAAGTAATCCCCTAAAGTACATAATATCGTATAGTTTTTCATTCGTCCCTATGTATGATTATAACTACGCAACGGATTTTGAAGCGGTTTCTTTTAATAGATACAGTGATTCGAGAGGAAGGTTTATTTTTCTAAAATATATATATAATACCCGTGCCGGGACGAGAAGCTAGTATCTTATATGTTATAGTTAATTCACAAAACAAATAATAAATGGCGCCGTATACATTGTTTATTTATTGTCGTTTGTTAATGATTAATAAATCTACGAATATACATGCGTAGAAAGTCTTGGAACTACTAATTTGTTTATGTTATTATTTTATTTGTCCCGCCCACATAAACACACAAATATATACCAATATCGTTACAATATATCCAAACAATAGAAGGTTGTCTGTAAGAGATTGCTTATACCGATAATACCATCGTGTTTGTATCGCACTTTCTGATAAAGTGTTTTATTTTAGTACTTAAAAACAAGTACTAAAATAAAACACTTTTTACACATGAAATACATACAATTTGAGCTTACAATTAGTACTTACTTATGAAAGTATTGATTCCCCATATAAAACTACATGCCCTATCTTAGCACCTTTCAACTTATTTTTTAAAAGACAGAAATATCTTCACATGAAATTTTATTAAGAACCGTTAGTGAAATGGAGACACTCTGACAAACAGGTGCATTCTACGATTTATAATGTTGCTATAATTTTATTTAAGTATATATCAAGTAATGATGTTTCTGTCCACGACGGCTGGGACAACAGTCGTAATGGTATATATATATATATATATATATATATATATATATATATATATACTAATTCATTTGATATAATTTTATTATACTATGCTCTGACTGTTTTACATTATGCCCTGAAATGATAGGCCTATTGAACTCGGCGGATTATACGAAATGAATCCTATTATAATTTGTGTAAAGCAGCCTTTTAAACATCCCAGGTCACTAATCTCCTCCCCGCCAAAGAATCTCCGGATACTTAATGGGGTTGCAATAAATCTATACCTTTTCTCATATTTTATATGATATAGATACGTATTAAGCATCTTCCTGAAAAGTTTATTTTAGATAACCCGGCATATGTGTTATGAAAAGTCCAATATACTTCTAAAAAGATATTATTTATAATAAGAGAAATAGCAAATATCTTAAATAAAAAAGTTTGTTCTTTCCTTAAAAGGATTTTTGATGTAAGTATACTCATTTGATACAAGTGGAATTTTATAAGGAAAACATAGTAATTTTCTTGGGTAAGTTATTTATATTATTAGTCATTCAATCTGTCATAGAGATCATATGTACCTATATTGATTGAGATATTTTTTGTATTAAGTTTGTGATAACTGACAAAATTCATTTCTGAATAATCTTCCTATAAACAAGAAAATAACATTACTCTTTCAACCAATTACAGATACATTCAAACAGAATTTTAAATATTCTGATTGCAATTTGTTCAGATTAAATACAAAATATTTATATGCGTGAATTTACTATTTGGAATATTTTGTATGCAATATAGCGAATAAAGATCAATAATTTTTTTTAGTTGCGGAAAAACCGTTCTGATATAATCGTGATTTACGTCACTTTGACTCTACATAAAAAACCAATTCAGTTTTATTAATAAAAACAAATAAATTATAAAAAATATAAACAGATAGCAATATTAATATTAAAAGTAATGTACACCACTAAGGCCTCTAATAAAGTATTTTTTAAGTAAACTTTTACATAAATTGATGAGACGCTGCAAAGGAAACCGTATTGGAAAAGGCCATATCCCGATCACGGGAATAAAGTAGATGGTGAAAGTTAGTACTACTTTCTTTAAGAGATAAAAGGCGCCATTTGTTAAGCACGTGTATGCAAAGTGTAATCTTTAGCTATAAAGTATTTTAAGACTATTATTATATAAATTACTATATATATAGGCACTTACATACTTACATGTCAAGTGTCCATATTCGATAACAAATAAATAAAAGAAATGTATGTTATAATGTATATTATATATGTTACAAGATAAAAGTCTGTATGTCGTAATATATAGAAAAAAACACAAGTACTCAGATTTCCGCTCAACAAATGCAATCTCATTCGCCTGTTTTTTCGATTACAAATAAAATGTCACATATTTACCTCAGAAAACAGGAATGTAAATATTATTGAATTTATCCTATTTGAGCGAAAAGATTTCTGTATCGAATTTTCTGTAGTATCTCTGCAGAAAAGACAAAATATTATCTTGACTTTTGCTATCAAAAGCTTGCCGCTAGAAATTTGAAGCTTTGTAATAACATTCTATATTATGAATCCTAAGCATCGACTTATAAAGATTTAGTTACGAAAGATTTTAGTTTAATAGGAAAAGGAAGGAGATATATCGGGATACTAAAGAGACAACAGAACTACATAAATATGTATATGTATAATATGTCATGTATGTAATCTCTCTCTGTAATGTAATCTCTACGTAGAGTTTAACAATTTCAGAAATATCAATGATTTTTGTAAAAAATCATGCCTCTCGATAAACCATTAAGTAATTGTTGATGTATTTTATTCCTATTAATTTCACAAACTGTATCCTAAAATAATATTCCTAATAAAATTACACACGAAATCCCAAAACTTCCTTAATCACATCTTTTCATATAGAAAATAACTTTCTTCGTTATGATCACGAATTACTATATATAATCCAATTTATATAAGACTTATACATCGTTGATTCTCTTATTATCTGAAAAACGAACTTAATGCCCTACGGTATTCCGATAGTTTTATGAGATAGATCTATTCTCAGATCACATGTCGAGTCGCTAGAGAAAAGTGAGTATACATACATATGTGACTGTTCTAAAAAAAATAAGGCAGATAGAAACCGGATTTAAAGCATTAAAGAATTAATTCAGTTGACGAACATCTAGTAAAATAATTAAAAAAAAAAGTATTGACCCAATTTAGTTTATTTCGTAGAGTTTTTTAAACCATTAAGCACCCTGAAATGCGGTGTAATTACTATATCAAATTAAAAACTAACTATCTAACATTTAAGTGAGGCTATTACATATTTTAATTAATCATGTATGTACAAGAATAATTGTTTTCATAAAATATCTTGAAAAAAGTAGAGTAGAAATATAATAATAAGCTATAAATTCACAAGAGCTCCATAATGACTACTGTATTCAAATGAAAGCTCATATATCTTGTAAATCTAAGGAAATTCTATTGTTCCTCCCTCTCATTGAAGTGTATTATAATTAATTAAAAAATAAAGAATCAATCCTAAAATCAAGATATAGTTTTTAAAGTTTATTCTTTTTTTTTATTGATACAACATAGAATACAATGTTTATAAATAAATCTAATTTCATTTATAATAATATTAATACAAAGTTTAACTTTCTTGTTGCTTACCAATTACTCTACATTCAATACAATAATATTCATTTATTTATTTGTATAACTTGAGTCAAAATGCAATTATTACGCTATCAGTTATTATTAAATTTGCAAATAATTCAGTAATAGTAATTGAAAAAACTAATTCAACGAACGAAATGTATTAGCTTATTTTTACGAACTTTTGTAACTAAATCGTAAGTAAGAAATAGTAAAATATATTTATGTTTATAATTATTTTGTTATTAATTGTAATTTATTTAACTTTGGTATTTGAAATAAAAATAATTTTATTTAATATTTGTAATGATATAAGTGTCTATTGTTTATAAAATAATCTCATTTTAATACTTTCCCTTAAGTTTTGTTTAAAACAACGAAAGAAGCAAGATAGAATTTTATTAAATTCATTTCAGTTAAAAAGTTTCACAAATGTTAATGGTACCGAAAATTCAGGCTCGGGTATACTATAACATAATCCTACTAATTTACCTAAGAGTATTAACGCGTACGAGAACTTTAAACTGTTAAGATGGGACAAAGTACGTATATGTGAGCCGAAGGAAACCCCTGCATTATTTATAAGACCTTAAAATCCAAGTGAAGTAGGTAGTTAAAACACACATTTCGTACAAACAAACGTCACAACCCGGCGAATCACGCTCATTTATTATAGAATTTATTTCAACGTTTTTGGCCTCTATTTAATTATTTATAAACTTTCAACCGTTTGTTCCTATGCTATAATTATTTACAGCGCGATAAAAAATAATACTTTACCTTGACGACGCTCAATACATCCTTTCGTAGTAATCGACTCACAAAACAATTATCACAAGAAGCGTTATATAATGCAAACGGTCGCGTGCAATCACGTCAGGGTAGCAACATGTCGACAACACGTCCGACACGCTCGTTGTCCTGAAAGATACTGATTCACATCAACGTCAACGGCAACAGCGAAAAACGGTGTGAAATGCGCAAGTCACGCGGCGTTTAACTTATACACCTACTTTTGAATTTCAAATTGTCATTTTCTCTTTTAATATACGATGCACACGCAATGGGATGTTAATTTGAGATAATTTCCTGCGTGCTAAGCAGTTATATGCTTTATGTGTGCTTGAAAAAAATCTCAAGGTTTTTCCTCGAGTTCTTGATAACGTCCGAGGCACTTTCTAGAAAACATATGAATAATATAAAAATAAAAATATGTATATTATTATTTTTATATTATTCATATGTTTTCTTTATACAAATAAGTATTAAATATTTAATTAATATATGGATAATGTACTTTCGGTTTAAATAACCATTTCTTTTTCAAAATTGAAAGTTTGATGTTACGTTGAACTTCGGTTATTATTTTACGTACGAGTAAATAAATAAACAACTAGTAAATTTAATTATTTATTATTACTACTAAAAAATATCTATTACACTCTAACATTTTCCTGTTATAAGAAAATATTTCTATTATTCCTATTTTTCTTTTTATAATTTTTATATATCAAACTTGAAAATCCTTATTCAGATTGAATTTGATTAGATAATTAAAGAAACAACATTTTCAAATAGACAGATTTTTTTTAATATTCTATATTTCAACTGTTACAATACTATAATGTCATAACACCATGATAATTATACAATCCACTATTAAATGTTTAAAGCAATAAACCACTGCAATAACAGTGATATTAATGTAATAATTAATTAGTTATTTGATTAAATTATTAGTTACTTAATAGCGCTAGGAACTAAACTATAGTAACAACTTTTTTAACACAGTCATTAAAATTTTAATAATTTTCTTAATATATTGTAAAAAATAGGTAAAGTAAATTATACTCTACAACATATTATTGTAATGTAATTTCAATTACAGCAGCGTAGAGCTCAGCGTAGCGGTGCTACGTATTTCGTAGCGATATTGCAGAAATGAAATTAATAGGTAAAGAAGTGTTTTATTTGCTACAATAAATTTGAAAATAATAATTTAATATTAATAACCTGATTAGTGAAATAAATAAGCCATGGTTACATTAATAGAATAGAATAGAAAATCCTTTGTTTATATATCACTTTAGAATAGTCACAACATTTTTTTTTCTACCGCTCATTCGAAAAGATGTCTCATCACAACAAGAACGAGCAACAAACTTCTTTTAAATAATACTTGTAAGATTACATTTACAAGTTAAAACGTGTGAATATAAACCACCAACTAGCACTAATTTATTAGGGTCAAATATAAATACACAATAAGATTAAATCAGTCGCAGTAATAAGAGCAGACCAGTCCCTACAAGCAACACCCGTTCACGAGTATGACGGATGAGCCAGCCGTCACTGCGCTCGACCATATTTTAGGGAACCCAATGACCCGAGCCAAATAAATGTGATCATGGCTTATTTATTTCACCAAATTAAACAAAAATATTAACTTTATACTTTGAAGAAACTGTATACGTTACCGAGAAAACAATAAAAGAAATTTTTTTGAGTATGAAAGCAGCCAGGTCTGTTGACTCATCGCAACCAATTCCAACGAATTAATCACAACGGAAACAGAGAGGAGGGTGTAAGTATATATCTAAAATAATGTTGTCCATACAACACAATGCACAATGCACAATCTTATATTAAAGAATTTGCTATTCTTTAATATAAGATTGTGCACAGTCGCTTATGTCAAAAAGCGATTGTATCTGATCAAAAGATAAGATTAATTCATTTATGTATAAAAACTAATTGTTAATATAAACACAGTAATATTAATCTTCTCTTTTAAATCGGTTAAAAATTACTAACTGGTTGTGTGTACAAATATTTATTTTTGTATAATATTTTTTTGGAGTATGCAAAAGTATTAACGTAAAACATTCTAAAATAAACATCAAACATGCATAGAGTTTTTAATTCCAAAAGACAAATATTTGTTCAACATAAAAAATGCTTATATGTAAAAACTGTATTAATTTTAGAACTGAAAATTTCATCTATGTATATTTTATAAAAGCGAGAATGGATTATTTAATGACGTCATTAAATATTTCAGACAGACAAAGTCACTATAGTACAATCCCATTTACTAAACCGTAACCCAGATGTCGGGCAAAATTCATTACGTACATTATCTATAAATAATTTACCAGAATACTTCCAGTATTCAAAATAGGAATTGCATTTACTAAACCTACTTAATCATGCTTTTCGTTTAGAATATATGGAAAAACTATTGAAAAGTCCAAGTTTAGCAAATTTGTGAGATAATTTAATTTTATATTTCGTATTAAAGTTTTATTATTTTATTGTACCTATTATTCACTTATTTTTAATGTCACATACGTTTCCGGTATATAATACACACTAGCAGTTCACCAATTTATTATTGGTTGTTAATCAATATCAAGTATTAAAAATATTATATTATCAGAGTAATAAACTGTGTTAACTCAAAGAAGAAAGTTTTGGAAAATCATCTGTAAATACAAAAACTACATCCACACCACTTTATAAAATATTAATTTATTTGGTAATAGAATTTAATACTGAACTTGTGAATTATGTTTGTTTTATTGATAGTTTATAATTTTTGTTTTATTTTTATGAATATTAAAAGAGTTCAAGTTAATCGGACCATATAAATCTATTCATGTTTATTAAATTTGGCGAAGTTGAAATTTTTTTATTATTTCTTCCTTTGTATTAATGAAACCTAATAAAAATAAAAGTATATACTTAATATTTTTATATTATATTTAAAGACCTTAAGGTTGAAAGATAAACAGACAAACAAATTAAAGCAACTAAACACTGCAATTTCTAATGTATGCAGCAATTTCATAAAGTATTCATTCAAAAATTTAAAAAATACTTAAATATTTTATTTAAAAAAAACTTATAACAAGTTCAAACTGATACATTTTATTGCAATTTACGAAACATCGACTTAGAATATCAATATCAAATTCTATAAAAGAATTTTATATTAAATTTTCAATTCAATCTCTCAACGCTACACACGTGTACATGTATCTAAAACTTATAAAATGAAAACGTAGTCTCGAAAGCAATGTCCAATATTTTTCCCGAGATAACATACAAGCAATAACACTATTTTGTTTATGTTGACGTCGGTGTAGGCCGCACGGGAATATAGGATCGACAAAGGCTCACTGGCTTACGAGAACTATCTAGTAGTCAGCCTATACCAGTGATATTAGACACTCTTCATCCCGCCTCTATTTGGTAATATACACAACAAAAGAGGTAAGCTCTACATAATTCACAGTTCATGTTATATCGGCCCTTTGTCAGGCGTGTGAAACCCAAGTACTATGCCCATGGGATGGATCCCTACTCAACTACCAATACCAAGATACAGGAATGATAGACTGCGTAGGCTTACCTTTCATTTCTAGTCCTTAATTAGTCCTTTTCGTAATAATTTCAAGGGAGTTCTAAAACTTATTGTCAACTTAGAAGGAAAAGAGAATAAAGTATAATAACCTTATTAAAACTTACTCGTCAGATCTGTTACAATTTTCACGGATTTTTGTATTGTATTTACTAATAATCAAATTTCTGAAAAACTTTACTAAACTTTAATTTTTAGATTGCCAAAATAATTATTGGAATGAATTTTCTGAAATGAATACTGTATATTGTATTTTTTTAATATAATTATAATATCATATTAGATTATATGGAATTAATGTAAGGCAATGACAATGTTGATTCATAGTCAGTGCGTTATATTAATCCTATTATTTGAGGTAGGCGCAATATGTGAATCTACTTCCACTAATCCATATCGGCCAACATATCTGAAGTTACTCTCCTTTTTCTTTTTAATTTATTGAAATAATTTGTAACATTTTCACATCATATCACCAATATCAGCAATATTTTTTTCGCCATGTAAACTATGTGTGCAGGGTAATATATTCTAAAAATATTATAGAATATTTATTTTTTTAATATACAAATTAATAGATACCATTTTTTTTTTACTTACACCATTAATTTATCAGTTAGAAACTCCTCCGATAGTCTTGTACCAGTAAATAAACATTTTAAACTACGAAACTGTACCGATCGTACGTGGATCCTCGTACAAATACGAAAATTGGTCTTAGCTCATACCTAGAAATTTTCGTCCTTATACATATGCTTTCATCTACGAAAATCAAATCAAATTGAGTTAATATACGAAATTTCATAACGATTTTTATTTCTTCGTATAAGGATAAGTGTTTAAAAGTTCGCAACCCTGAAAGCAACTTTCTATAGATAATGAACAGTGTAATAGTAGACGGTTTGAACGTTAAATTAAAAAAAATAGTCCAGTACTGAGGCAAAAAGTTAGAAAGAACTATCTATACACACTGCTAATGACCCCATTCTACTTTCAGCTCGATCCATTAGGGAATTTGATCTGTGTGTCGATACTGTCAGTCAATAGCTATATAGTTTAATGCTTAATATATTAATTAAACCTCTTACTAGGACAAGATCCTTAAAGGTTCGTATTGATGTGTTAAATGATTATTTATTAGAAAATTTCAAATGCTTAATTCTGCTTAAATATAAGTACTATTTAATTTATTATCTAATAATGTGCTAATTACTAGCAATAATTAATTGTTACATATATAGAATATAAGAAATCTAAGAATCTAATCTATAAGAAAAAATATAAATCATTATTATTAAAGTAGAAAAAATAAACTAAAGGAAATTCGTGGTGGAGTACTAATTAAAATTCTAACTGCGTATATCCCCGTAATTCGAAAGCAACAGGAAGCCAATCAACATTAATTTCGATTCTAAATATTTATTTAAATAAATATAATAAAAGCAATAAGGGTGGTAATGGAAATAATATTATCAATATTTATACCTTGGTATATATTAATCGACTTAATCAATATGAAACAA